AACAAAAATGGGTGCAAAGACTAGCTTGCTTCTCAGCTGAAGAAAAGTAACGACTTAGAGCATCTCCAACGGTAATAGGCATTTTACCTATCTAAACATTACTATAAAGTGTACATTTTATTTTGCCTATCAACTGTTTCATATTTTTGCTCCAACCATGCTCTTTATTTTAGCTATTCATCCAAATACTATTAATTTTATAAAATGCCACATCAGCAACAAAGATGGAGGGAAATAATCCTAATGATTAAATACATTTTGCCTAGCCTTGAAGGCTAGCTACATGTAGCTAGTGAATGTAAATTGAGCTAAAATGCCTAATTACATGCCTAGTGCATTGGAGTTGAAAAAAGTGAGTCATACTAGGCATTTTACCTAACAATCATTATATGCCTAGTGCATTGGAGAAAGCATTTTGAAATGAAAAATTGTACTAACTTGCACAATTCCATAACCTCTCTTTCCATGTATTCTCAATCCAATTCACACCATTTTATGGCTACGATGCTTGTTTGGGGATGTAATAGAAATTCATCCAAATAGGGATTTGTAATGTATATATATATATATATATATATTTTATTAATTTCGTTTAAAAATCGGCCCAATTTTTAAAATAGGAATTTGGAATATGAAATTGATTTAAAAACATAAAAATCATACAAAAAAAAAAACACATTTAGAATGATGTGTCAATGACATTTATAAAATTCCAAGGATAATAGTGGATATGTTGATTGAAAATAGAGAATCCAGAAAATACCAACTCATTATGTATATAAATTTCTATACAAACATTCTGTTAATATATTATTACTCTTTAGAATATGTTATTTAAGTGGAACCTGTTAGGGAAAATATGTGATTCCCCACAAGTAAATCAATCAATGAGAATAAAAACTAATGCGAAAAAATTAAATCAAAAGCAACACAAGAATTTTACGTGGTTTTCTCAATGTAAGGTACGTCTACGGAATTGAAATTCGATTCCACTATCAGCCAAAGAGTTTTCAAACGATTACAAACGAGATACGAATGATCTCACAAACCACCTTTAAGTGAATTTTAAATAATTACAAATAAATAAGAAACGAACAAAAATCTTTGAAACCAAAATTAAAGAAGATTCAAAATAACGAACCAAATCAACACCTTCAATGTAGAGCTCGAATTGTTAAAACGTCCAAACAAAGTGAAGCAAAGCAAACTTCACGCAGCCACTGTACCAATGGAAATCACCAATTAAACTTTTACAAAGTTCTATGTTGTTGCCCAAAACCAAACCCACCAAAAGTATTTATCTTGCTGCTGCCGTCCACCTATATTTTTGGATGAACATAACAATATATCTATATATTATTAAATCTTGGACTTGTTTTATCAACACTCTAATTATTACCAAATTGAATTAGGTTTCTAAAAGTTAGATATAATATATTAAAATATATTATAACTAACACCAAACCAAACTAAACTCTTTTAATAAACTAATTGGATCTCACACTCCAATAAGGAGATATACTCCAACAGAACAAATAATCAACCCACACTAGGAAAAAAATGACCTTTTGCATCTAATTTTTTAGCGACCCACTATTTAGCTGTTGCAAAAAGAAAAAAAATTTACGGCGACAAACTTAATGTGGAAATGAGCAGTGGCAAAAGGCCTATTTTATATGTACTTTTTCTTCCCTTTATTGACCCTAATTTATTTTTCCCTTATGTTATTTGCCACCCCACATCTGCGTCCTCCATTTGCGGTTGCATGGGTCATCATAAAAAGTCTTTTATGATTGTATTTTTATTACTTATGTTAGCTTATGACGGTCACAAAAGGTACTTTTTCTAATAATATTAGATCCAGACTTATGAGTTGGAAACCAATAACCAATCCAAATTTCTATACAAACATACTTATGACCCAAGACACAACAAAGGTTGATATGCCTTTCAGTGGGTTCATTCTGGGTCTATCTTTATGATCTTTATTTATAAGATTTGCCGATTAAAATATTTATATGAAAAATTAAGGCACCGTTTGGGAAGGGATTTTGTGGATTTTTTTGGCTATTTCAGTCACAAAAGACAAAATAGGATAGTTTAGCCACAACAAACAAAACATCACATCCAACTCATAATCATTACACTTTTCTCTCATAAAAAAAGTCAAAAAAGCTAAAAAATCCTTCCCAAACCAAGCTTTTTAGCCTAGGCTAAAATAACCAAAAAAGTTAAAAAGTCAAAAAACCAACCTACTTCCCAAACCAACCCTAAGTTAATTAAATATGAGAATTTATATGATCAAATCATATTTTTCTTTAAATAAGGATGATATATATAGTTTTGTATATAAATACTGCTTTACAAACCTAAAATTAGACCAACTACAAGACAAAACACTGGTGATTTCATTATAATTCACAATAAAGTGAGTCATCATCAAATAATAATGGACATATGAATGATCTAATTGACGGATCTCACAACATGAAGAATTTGAATTATGGAAGTGGATGGTTAACGTTACCTCATATGGAGCCATTTTTTGATAATAAAAGTTGTTAAAATGTATTAAAGTGGAGACATTGGACGGTGAATGTTGCTCATATGGAGCCAATTTTTGATGATAAAAGTAGTTAGTTAATTGGACTATCTTTCAACGTAAACATTTGAATGGAGCCGAAAGTTGATATTCACTTGTGTTTTCAACTTCAAATGTGTAGTTTTTTTGACTTGCTCAAGTTCACCAAGGATCCTCTAGAGTGTTTTTTTTCTAAAGTTTCTTAAAGTGGTATATTGTGTGGTTGAGATTTAATGCTGAAAAATTGATGTGACTTGTCATTAAATCTCAACCACACAATGCACCACTCTAGAAAACTTTAGAAAAAAAAAGCTCTAGAGGATCCTTGCTTTAAGTTATATCACATTTCTACTTTCTTACACATCTTTCTATAATAAATAAAAAAAGTCAACTTGTAAACTATGTAGGTATTTGGCATCCCTTAAAAAAGTCAACAAGTCAAAAAATCACAAAAAAACAAAAAAGTTAACACTATTCACATGTTTGAGCGGGAAATAAAAGTCTGAATAGATAGAGGATAAAAAGACATATATGCCCTTGGTACACTCCCCTTCCAACAGTTACTTTTTGGTGGGAAAAAAAAAATTCAAAATAGTGCAACACAGTGCACTGATGCGGTACACTGTCGCACAGTGCAGCACATCACAGTCACTGACATGCACGGAAGCATGTTAGTGCTCAGAAGCGTATCAAAGTAATTTTGCTAGTTGATATAATATTTTAATACATATTTTTTTGTAAAAAGTCAAAAAATTATCCCAAACATATTTTTTTTCCCTCTACTTTTTTAGTCAAAAAGTCAAAATCATCCCAAATCATCCTCAACCTCCATCATTTTTGGTTATTCACAGTTAAAATTCTATAGGATAAAGGAACTAAAAAAACAAAAAAAAGTTCCTAAAGAAATTGAACAAGTATCAAACTTATTTTACCTTGGTATGAATGTGTTTTATGTTTCTATAACATTTGTGTTTTCATTTTATTTTATTTTATTCTATTCTTGTTGCAGAGCAGCATTTTGCAAAATTTACAGTCCTCGTTAAAATATTCAGTGGTGTTTGTGGCGTGGTAGGATTGTGTTTAAATTTATCTGTTTTTGTTCCAAAACATAAATAATTATTAGATCACATAAAAATACTAAAATCTTATATTATAATTTAACAATACAATTATTGATACCTATCATTTAATTGTATTTCAAATGTTAGGGCTTTAATATTGCATGCTTCCCTTTTTGTTTAAAAAAAATTATGCGATAAATTTGTTTGTGTAATATTTTTTGGTCAATATGTTAACGACAAACATTAAGCAATTTAAAATATTTTACAAAAATCATCTTGAAGTTAAGGGTGACCAATTGGCTGACTAATCAAAAAATATTTCAACTGGCATGTCGACTAACAATGACTTTAAGATGATTTTTGTGAAATTTTATTCATGATCGGTAACATTACCTTTTTAACAATTTGTATTACACACTTCATGCTTGTACGTTATGTTGAAGCTTAATTAGCTGCGCTTGCATGTTTGTATGCTCCATATTTTTTTAAGGATGGTGAATGTTATAAGACACAGAAGGTGTTAATGTACACCTCCTACACCACTAAAACCTACCACTACACACCTCCACTACTCCTCACCCACTCCACCTACCACCTCCACTATACCTACTACCACCACCCACTCTACACCTACTACTCCCAAAACCTCTCTATATATAGGACTTGTAATATACAGATACATATATCAAAACAATCAATCTTGTAATCAATAAATCAATAATACATAATTTCTTACAGAAGGAATGGGGATAGGGATGATAAATTATTCAATGGTCTTGGAATAAGTTTAGAGAGTGTTCTAAATTAATAGTGTGTTTAAAAAAATAAGACAAATTACTTTAATCTTAGAGAGTGTTTGAATGATAAACTTTGATCGAAATTGAATGTAATGAAATATAAATTATATTCTTTTTTTTTTTTAATTATTATTCAAATCAATGATTCAAATATTGTGCAAAATATCAACAAATTAACAGTAATACTACAACCCTCAACTCAGAAATTATTTAGATTTTTCATCTTATAGTTTAAATTTATTTTACACATAGATCTCATACTATACAAACTAATTTTCATCACAAAATCACTCATTCAGAATTTTCTAGATGTATTAAAATCTTAGTCCCTAGATTAATTCATAAATTAAAATAGAAGAAAACATTAGTCTCACATTTGAGAGATCCTATGCCCTTTTACCACAGTAAATGTTCCATTTCCACAACCCGAAACTGAAATTAGTTAATCTATTGCTTAATCATCAACCCGAAACTGAAATCTTATTTAATCTATTGCTTAATCATCATGCATGCATGCACAGTTACCGAATTTATTAATCTTTACTCTCATCCAACGGTCACTTTGCGCACATATTCATTGTCTGCATTTGGTTATATAACAAAATCCATTACTTAAATACATAAATGGCCCCCACAAAAACATCCAACGGTCACCTTTTATATAAATCCAAGGCTCACCCGCTCCCTCCATAAACAACTTTCTTCCCCATTTCTAATTAAATTAACACCCATTATTAATTTAAAACCAAAATAAACTAAATAATAACATTAATTAATAAAATACTAATAATATAACTTGTACTAATTCAAACAAAATCACCACCAAACTACTATCTACTTGGCCAGCACACGAAGAGTGAATCATACGCGCCGCCGTTCATAGAATTTGATCCGACATCGACGGAAGTCGCCGGAAAAAATTGACAGGCACCGACGGCATGTCATCCCGGAACCTCGGATGTCGCAGATAGTAGAACCCAGACCCCACCACAAATGCCTTGAATGGGACCACATAAAACACCAATGAAGCCATTAAACAGACTACTACAAATATCCCAGTTGCCCTTGGGTCCCTCCAATTCATCAGAGCCTCCAATCTCTCACCTTGTGCTGCCACGTCACCTAAAAGTGTCTGGGCCCTACTAGCCAGTGCCCGCAACCGATCGTACCTGATCCGAACTTGGTCACCCGATCGTGTGGTTGGAAACCCATCAAACTCCTCGTCTAGCTCGTCCAGGCCCACCGCGTCAACACATGATATTCTTGGGTCTATAGTGAGTGGGACCCGCTGGACGTAACGAAATCTCAGCCCTACGATGAAGAAGATGTACATGAATACCGTTGGGAGTATTAGATGTGGGCATAAGACAATTGCTAGGACCAAGAGGTGGACTAGGACTGTGGTGGGTGGGTGCACCCAGGTTCGAATCCCCTCGAGCCACCTTGCGAATGTGGCGAACTTGGTCAAGCAACCCACGACCCGGAACCAATTGGCTTTGCTCCGCCTCATGCTCCACATGTGTGAGTCTGAATCGAGAATAAACTGAACCACTTCCTGACCCAGAGCTGGTTCGGATCGGGCTAACCGGGCCGTTACCATCCGCATTGCGGTGTGGCGCAGGATATCTTGCTGCGCCGGACCCAATGGGCGCACATAGTGCATTCTAGGAAGCATTGGGCTAGCGTACGCCTGAATTAGACTAAGCCACGACGAACATGAGAACCTTACTGCAATTTCAATCTCACCCATTTTCTTGCCCCCACCAGGGAGTAACACGGTAAGAGAATATGAACCCATGTACACCCGATTCGTATCAAGCGTTGACAGCCGTACACGTAGCTTCCCAATTCTCACATCCTTCCCTGGCTTCCCTGCTTCATCACCATGATTGTACCTTCCGTTATCAAAGACCCCAATTGTGAGTACGGTGCAGGGATCGTATACATCCCATGTGTACTGCTCGTTCCACCGTGGATTAAACCGATCAAGGATCGTACGGGTGCGAACCCACTTGGGCCCATATTTGGCCACCACGTAAGCGTCCGTTGTGCCACGTGTACCATCCTTGGTTTTCACTGGAAGCAGATTAGTGGCGCCACGTATACCCACTTCGAGCAATCCGATTGGTGGCTTGGCTAACTGTTTTGCAGCCGCCCGAACATCGCTTGTCACGTGAGCAGCTTCGTCAAGCACGTGATACCCACCTTCCAAACATACTCGCACGTGTATTCTTCCCGCATAAGGTCGATTCTCATCTCCAATCAAATTAAACCATCTGGATCTGGGCTCTGACCTGTCATCTGTTCGCCTATCAACGCTTGCCATGTGTACTTTCGCATGGCCCACAGTGTGTGAATTTGAAACATCTTCGACTGTAATTACCAAAAACGGCTCAAACGGCTCGGCTGCGACGAACACAAGGTCCTCATTCCACGTGGGATTAGAAGACGAGCTGGATGAGCCGACCGTTGTTCGGCTAGTTTTGAACAGCTGCGGGCCCAGCTGAGCCTTAACGTACAAATCTGGATTCTTAACCTTAGGCTCTGCTCCCGAACCTAGCTGTAGATCTTGGGTTTGGATGACCGTTAGTCTCAAATACCAGAGCTTCGGAGAGAGATAGACCTTGGCTCGGGTCTCCGGAATTAAGCCGCCGGAGTCCGACTGCCAGGCTTCCTGAAACGCCTCGTCGGCCTGAGTTCCGATCCAAACGGCGAGCATAACGTCATTTCCAGGCGAATCCTCCGGCGAACCTTCGAGAGTGTACCACTGAGGAGCGAGAGGACTGTCTGGTGGGACTCTTTTTGGGATTTCTTGCAAATCAAACCACACCGTTCCCAAAGAAGTCTCTGTTGAATTCTCTGCTTCTTTCTTCTCAACCCAAACAGAGACTTCCAAGGAAGTTGAATTGAGATCTTCTTTGTGAAATGCAAAGACTTGGTCCCAATCTTTGTCTGGTTGGTTCTTGGTTTTGATACTGTGAGTTCCGATCACGAGCTTAGCGTAGACCGACGACGAATCAGCTTCCGGGTTCGCTCGTTTCACCTTCACAACTCGCACGAAGAGCAATGGCATTCGATTGACGAGATCGTACGAGCTAAGAAGACTTCGATCGCCGGCGATTGATCGGAGTTCTAACTCATTCGATTCGATATCGGGTCTTTTTCCGACGATCGCCTTCTCTTTCTGCTTGTCCGCTTGAGCTATTGGTGGATTCTCCGCCTCCACCGCCGGCGGTGGAGGTGGTGGCGCCGCCGCCGGAGTCTCCTCTGTTTTTGTATTCTCCGGCTGTTTCTCTTCTTTCTTGGCTTCCTCCACAGGCTTTTCCTCTTCCTTCTTTTCCTCCTCCTTCTCCGGCGGATTTTCCTCCGCCGCAGGCGGAGCTGGAGTGTCGGATTTCTGCTCTGTTTCCGGCGGAGACTCCGCCGGATCAGGATTCTCGTCCACGTACCAAACCTTGAGTCCGATCTCGCCTTTAATCTGAGAGAAAACACTTCTCTTCTCGAGAGGATAGTAGACGAGAGTCTCGGACCCAGATTTCACAAAAGTGCTTCCGGCGATCTTGACTTTACCCAGAAAAATGCTTCTCTTGCCGGTCTTTTTGTCGTTGTAGACATTGAGTTCGAGAATTTCAGTGGCCATTGAATCAACTTCGTTAACCAAAAACTCAAGCTTTTCGTCCCATTCAGGGTTGAGATCTCTGAATTTGGTCTTGGTTCGTCGCCTCTGGCCATCGAAATCGACGATCACGTAAGCGCTCGCAGTTCCTTGGCCGTCTTTGGGCATCAGATTCTTGGCGTTGCAGACTTCAACGATGAGCTTTCTACCACAACTCTCCGCCATTAGAACGACTATAGGTTATGGGTTTGATCAGAAAATGTGAGTTTGATTATGGGTTTGCTCAGAAAATGTGGGTTTTGATTATCGTTTCTCGGAGAATGTAGAGAGAGAGAGAGAGAGAGAGAGAGAGAGAGAAAATGGTCTTGAGGAGGAAGGGATGTTTGTTTGAAGGTATTTAAAAAGAAAGTGAGGGTCATGGATGACACGTGAGGGTGATGATGGACACGTGGCATAATATTTTTGATACGTTATTTTATTGTACGGTACAGGCAAGAGCTGCGTGGACAGGGGGATTTGTTTAAGGGTTGGTTTGGCAAGGGCTTATTGGGCTTTTTTGGCTCAATGAGTGACAGAATAAGTTCATGAGCTACAACAGACAAAATATCTTATCCAACCCCATAATCATTATATTCTTCTCTCACAAAAAAATCAAAAAAGCCAAAAAGCAAAAAGTCCTTCCCAAACTAAGCTTTTGAGCCCAGGCTCATATAGTCAAAAAAGGCAAAAAGTCAAAAAGCCAACTCACTTCCCAAACGGAGGCTAACTCATATTCTTGCAACCAAAAAAAATTAAACTCACTTAAAAAATATATATATTTAATACTTTATTATAAAAAAGAATAAAGCTTGAGACTTCCAGTAGAGGTGCTGCGGATGCTTTGTGATTGATTCAAAAAATTGTTTGTTTTTTTTTTCTTTGTTTTCAGCCATTGACAGCCCCTCACATGAAGGTAGGGTGCTGGGGTTGTCGAAATGCTGGGGTCTCCAGCATTTTCGTATAAAAAATAAAAAAAATTGTATCATTCAAGTGTATTTACTGTGTGATTCGAACGTACAAATAATAAATATTTTTCATATATATATTTTTTTGAATATCTAGGGTGTGTTTGGTTTGTGTTTTAATATAAATTTTCAATTTTTTTTTTGAGAAAAGAGTTTAGAATTTTTTTTTAGTTTGGTTGAATATTTTAAAGGGAAATGATTTTTCCCCCGAAAAATCGTCCCCCAAATCCCCCGAAACACAGAGAGAGAGAGGGAGAGAAGAGGAGAGGAGAAGAGAAGAGAAAGAGGAGGGGAAGAGGAATGGAGGGGGATCGTCGTCTCGCCGATCGTCGTCCCCGATTGTCCGATCGTCGCAGCTCACTCCGATCGTCGTCCCCGATTGTCCGATCGTCGCAACTCAGCTCCGATCGCCGCTCCGCCTCCACCTCCGCCTCCGCCTCCCCCCCACCTTGGTTGATGGCCCCTCCAGTCCTTCTCTTCCTCCTTCTTCTTCCCTTTCTTCCTTCTTCTTTATGATTTTCTTCTTCTTCTTCTGAAATTCTTCTTCTTCTTCTGAAATGAAAAAAAAAAAACAAAACAAAACAAAACGACGAAAATGACGTCGTTTTCATTTCGGGGGAAATTCGGGGGAGCGCTTTCGAGCTACCAATCACTACTCTATTTTAAAATAGTGTTGAAGCTTGAGATGATTTGATATTTTGTTGTAATTGAATAGATGTATGTGAGAGAAAAAAAGTGATTGAGAAAGAGAAATGCAAGAGAAAAAGTGATTGATTGATGTGTAGGAGAGAAAAAGTGATTTTGAATTTTTTTTTTAAAAAAATTGAACTAAACAAAATTTTGAAAATTTTTCTCAAAAGAAAAACGACTTGTTTGATTTGGTTTTGGGAGATAAATTTAAAAAAAAAAAATTTGGAGAGAAAATTTAGAAATTTTTTTAGTTTGTTTGGTTGTATATTTTGAAAATAGTTTTGGAATATGGAAGTTTGTGATGCTTTGATATTTTGTTATAGTTGAGTAGATGTATGTGAGAGAAAAAGTAATTGAAAAAGAGAGATGAAAGAGAAAAAGTAATTGATTAATGTTTAAGAGAGAAAAAGTGATTTTAGAATTTTTTTCCTATAATCACTAAACTAAACAAAATTTTGAATTTTTTTCTCTAAAATTACTCCCTAAAAAACAAACCAAATAAGGCCTTGACATTTTAACATTTATGCATAAATATTGTTTTATAATGTACAAAATTTACAATAAATGTGAGATATAAAAAATTCGGAAGCCTATTTAATTTTTTTCATTTATGAAAAAAGAAGGTTTTAAATAATTTATTTAATATCTTTTTATCATCGTTATGGTGAATTTTATATGTACAAAAATATTTACATTTTGTAGATTGAATATTTTTATTTGTGTGTAGGCCTTATTTTTCCCCGTATTTATTACTTTGTACTTACACGTGAGTCTTATTTTCTTATATATTTATTAAGATTTCCGTCTTCCAATTTAAGAGTTTTTTTTTATATAATTTATATGTTGTATTTGATCTTTATAGTTATGAAAATAATTCATTAAATTATATTATAATATCATATATAAATAAATAAAATTATATATATATATATATATTTATACGTTTTGGTTGTATTTAGTTCATAAATTTAGATAAAAATTCAAAAAAATATAAATAAAAGATAACTACATTTCTTCATATCTTACATATATATTTTTTTTCTTTCAAATCGCTATTTAAATTAAGGACATGGGTTGTTACTGTGCTAAAGTGCCTCAATTTGAGGTGTATTATTGGCTTATTTTTATAATTCGAACCGTTCATTTTGTAGGGTTTGTTGAGTACTTCATGTCTACCAAAAATCTTATTAATCGGATATCAATAACTATATGATCGTTAATCAAAAAAAATAAACAATAATTTTTTTTATGAGAAATAACATAAAAAATATGCAATTTAATCATATAGTTATTGATATCCGATTAATATGATTTTTGATAAACATGAAGTACTCAAAAAATCCTATAAAATAACAGTTCAGATTATAAAAATAAATCCATAATATATCTCAAATTGAGATATAACAGTCACTGTTGTGTACCCATTTCCTTAAATTAATCATCCAAACACATTTTTAGGAGATAATGAACTTTAAGAAATAGGTCATGATTTGTACAATTATCTATGGAAGTGTCACTACTACGTGGTATTTTGAAAAGTTTGTAAAAAGTAATATTTTTACTAAGCTTTTTGGAAGTGATTTGAGAAGTTAGTAAAAAGTTACTTTTTTTGGATTAATATTTATTTATGGTATCACATCACACTAAAATAACTAAAATATCCTCACCCAACTTAAAAAAAGAATAATGTTTGGTAGCTCGAGAGTTTGCCTCCCCTGGAATCCCCCTAATGCCCAAAACGACGTTGTTTTGGGCATTAGCCTTTTTTTTTCTTTTTTTTTTTTCCTTCCATTTTCGAGTCTTCTTCCTTCCATTTTTGAGTCTGCAGAGGGAGAGAAAGAGAAGAGAGAGGAAGAGGAGGAGAGAGGGAGAAAGCTCGCCGCCGATCGTCGCGTGTGCCTCCGCCGCCGCCGATCGTCGCAGCAGCAGCAGCTCGTCGCCTCCGCCGATCGTCAGCTCGTCGCCTCCGCCCCCCGTCCCCCGCCTCCGCCTCCAGCCCCATTTGTTGGGCCCCCTCCAATCCCTCCCCCCTCTCTCTTTTTCTGCTAAAAAAAAAAAACAAAAACAAAAACAAAAACAAAAACAAAAAAACAAAACAAAATAAAAGCGGTGTCGTTTAGGGTTTAGGGGGATTCGGGAGGTAGCTTTCGAGCTACGTAGCACTGCCGTTAAAAAAATTACATGTTACCCAAATTCACAAAATATAAATATTAAGAGCAATTACGTAATTTTTCAACCTATTTTTTAACACTTTCCAAATGAACAAAAACGCAACTTGAGTTTTGCTCAAAAACGCAACGCGGCGTTTTTCTTCCTCTCCCAAAAGAAAAATGATGATTTTGTGAGCTGATGAATGAATGGCAGGTGGTGGACGGTCAAACACTGAGCACTGGACACACTAATACTGTGTTGATGTGAACCCAATTTCTTGAGGTTTATAGGAAAAATTACAATACAAATTACAATCCTTACCCATAAGTCTGTTAAAATCCTATTTAAAAAGTTTTTGATACCTTTAGTTTTAAAATCTTGATACATTATTTTCTTTTCCATTTTTCTATATGCCATGCATGTAATAAATCTCCGTAGATTTATCGATGTATATATATGAGCTTGCTGTATATTGATAACCGTAGAGTTTTAAAGAGAGACAATATATATCCTTTTACTAAGGAAATTGAATATATCTCATTTGTTACTATCTTATCTATATTTATATCTATACTATATATTAAGCAAAAGGGGATTTTTAGCCCTAATCTTTGTGGAGAGCTCCAATCTCCCAATCTAAATTTCTTGATTTTTTATTTAAAAAAATAATAATCTTAGTATTTATTAACTTCTCCGAACTCTCAAGTCTTACCCTCATAAAAACACTTTAATGTATTAAGAACAAATATAAAAAAAATTCTTTGAAATCCAACACATGAATTCCTTGAAAAGTCCAAACACATATGATTATTATCCCTCATAATAACACTTTAATGCATTAAGAATAAGCATAAAAAAAATTATTGAAAAGTTCAACACATATGATTATTATCAAATATTAAACTTTAATATAATATAATAAAAAAAAGACATTTAATTCTTTAAAAAGTCCAACACATATGATTATTATCAAATATTAAACTTTAATATAATATAAAAAAGGAAAAAAAAAGAAGACATTTAAAAAAAAAAAACATTTAAGAATCACAATTCACATATATAGATAATTGTAAATACAATCCGTGCATAGCACGGGTGATATGCTAGTATTATATAAGGAAAAAGAAGTTTCTAACCCACAAGTCTTGTAGAAGCTCCAATATCCTAATACTAATTTTTTAATTTTTTGATTTAAAAAAAAACCTTAGCATTACAAGTCTTTTTAACTTCTCTCATACTAATTACCACACCATTTTCAACTCATCCCATACATTATGATTAATGATGGGATTGTTAAATTATTTTTATAAAAAATCTACAAAAAACGATTTGTATATTAAAAAAAATATCTAAAACAAATATAAATTCTTATTAAAAAATAACAAGTTGCAATTGTGAAAAAAAGAGAAAAAAAAAAATTATACTATAAAAAATAATTTCTATATTAAAAGAATATCTAAAACAACCATTTTCAACTTATCTCATACACTATAGTGAATGATGAGATTGTTAAATTATTTTTATA